GCCTGGGAGGTGGCCCGTCGGGCCTATTAAGCACGTGAAACGTGACGTACTTATAGACCTCCGCCCCGTACATCGTACGTTTTGTATTTCGTACATATTTGGTATAATCAAGCTTTATAAGATTAAAAACCTCCAAATCTCACTAAATCATTTAAGAGTTTCCGCTCAAATTGAATCGTATCTGTGAATAACCTTTTAAAGCACGTTTAGAATTCTCTCTATCTTTTCTGAAGGTATTGTACGACCATAATCCTCTTTAGAAAGGTATGAAATCGTTGAAAAGAAGTTACCTCACTCTCTGAGTGCTGATAGCACAGAAAATCTTTTGTTTTCTAAATATTATGAATTACATGAAGAAATTTATCGATAAAATTAATGTAGGGAAGATATGGTGAACATCTTCATCACAGTGCTATCGCTCGTCAATTTTCCAGAATTCATAGTATCAGTGATTTTTACCGTTTCTTTTCTCGAGCTCCTTTGCTTTTATTGACAGTACCTAGAATCCTTAATTTTAAAAGTGTAATGAGATTAAAGAAACTTGTTGGTAGTTCTTTGTTTTCATGCATTTCTTGCACATAGGTTGATCATCAATACAGGCTACTTTGTCAGAATGCTTCAGAAGTTTCCAGCATGTCATACAATGATAGCACTCTACACACCAGCATTTCCCAAAGTTACGAACAGCCGTACCAGTAATTGGGGAACAACATATAAAGCAGGCATCAGCAAACAACTTGAAAAGACGTTTACAGGACTGATATCAGAGCAATGAGATAAACCTTCAGAAAATCGTTTTTGCAGTATGCTTTCTTATTTCTCTCGAAAAACTCTGTACCCATGAAAGGTCTACCACAGTGGTAACAACGAAAATGCTGTAAGTAGTTCATAGTTAGGAGAAGCATCTGAAAGGAAATCTTACATCGACATGATAATGCTTATCTAGTGCCAGAACTGATCGTTCTGTTTCTTGATCGATTGGCTGTTTACAGTCGGAACAAATGAGAGATCTCAAATCATAGCAACGTAGACAGTAAAGCTCGTTCTTAAGTGTACGAGCATCTTTGGTTAACTCTAGTCTGGCAGACAAATGAAGAGAAGTTTTCGTTAGTCAGTCTTACTTGCAACTGTGACACTTGAAATGATATGCATGATAAAAGTCGTGGCCTTTTCGGAGTAGATCTTCAAAATCTATGGCTTGTTTACCTGAAATGATATTAAGATGGTAAGAAGAAAAGACCTTACATTGATTGCATCGATAGCATGCGAATTGGGAGCTATCACTCTTGCAGATCGTACAAACCATTCTAAACTTTCAAAAAACTTTTGAACGTTAGATTGAAATACTAACAAGCCATCTACATAATAAACACTGTCAATGATATTTTTCTCGCAAACCATACAAGTGAAGCAATGGGGGTGAAAAGCTGCATTTAAAGTGTATTTCACTTTGCCCTCAACGATTCCATCTAAATCATTTGTCGGTTGGGAAGCTTGCTCTAAATCAAACAAACTGCATCTTCTACATATTGGAGCATATAAAGTATAAAAATCATGTTTACAATAGAAACGGTTCTCGAAGTTATAAAATGAATCCTCTTCCAAATCTTTGAAGCATTGAGCGCATCTATAAGCAAATCACTATTGAGTCATCTGTTCACTAACAAACCGAAAGCATCTCTTATGAAAGTTTTGCCCATCTACGAGAACTCTCAGCTCATGGTCATCAAATGTATCCAAGCATAAACTGCATTGAGCGTCCAACCTACTGAACCTGATTTCAGTGATAGAATATAACTTTAAAAAACCTGAATCTGAAGCTAGAACTCAAGGATAAGCTCTGAAAGTCTCTAGAGACAGGAGTTTCAACAGACGTCATTCGATAGGACCTCTTTTGATTTCACACCAACTGATATCGTTTTACATATTGACCAATGAAACTGCTCAAACAACATAATCGATACCAGAATGACAATTCAGCTTGTAGCAGGACATTATCTTCAATAATAGTTCTTCTATAATTATTCCATGCGATCATCCATCCGCCAGATTGAAAATACGGGAGCACAGAAAACTCAGGACTAATCATAATCGATAAAGTTCACTTTTACAATTGCTTGGCAATTATACCAAATGTTTATTATTATTACGTCAAATTAAGACACGATTAAAGTAGAAGTTGGTATTGAACACATTACTTTTCTTCAATGGAGAACGAAAACGTTGCAAACACAGCTATTGCTTGTATCTAGTGATCTCAAAAAGGAAAGCAATCCAAAACCAAATGTGAGTAGAGAATAATGCATTATGAGGATCAATAAGGTATTTACAACCGAAAATGGTGATAAATAATGAGAGCTTCAGCTCCAAGAAAATTCGGTAAATTAACGGAGGTAGGAAAATAACAATACACGGAGAAAAGCAGCTTGTTAAAAAAAAGAAATTAATAGAATATGCAACTCAAGAATGAACAAGCGCCACGAAGACGATAACCACACATATGACTAAAATAATACCGGAGTAACATTCTTAACATGCAGTAGTAATGTACAGGATTTACATATTTACCAGCGGGATTTTCTCGTCGATGCCCGATTTAATTGCACATTTGCCGAGCTTTGTTCTCCAATAGAATGATAATATAACTGATGATTAAAGAGAACTACCTCGCCGACTGACTGGGGGTGGGCAAACAGGCAGTTGTGTAACAGGAGGAACTTCATTTTCCTGCTTTTTGGGGGAGAATTCTGTAAACTTGTTGTTAACAATGGGTTCGTTTCATAAATCGTACCTAACCCAAATTCAACTGCTAGTCTGTCCGCTATTGAAGGCCTAGGTGGTGGAGATGGCTGCACTCGGGGAATGTTTGTTTTCTGGGGAGATCTGACTCTTTCACTACCGGTGGATACATAACTTGTCGAATGAGAAGCTTGCGGTGAGAGCGAGCCAAAGTGATCTAATGTGTCATTCGTTCCTGTCATTTCTCCATAAATATCTTTTTTTAAAGCATCTAAGCTGGATCTTGTTGGATCTGGCAATGTGATTGGCAACAACAGGGTTTGATCCTGAAACACTCTGTTAAAAACAATTTACAGAAATTAACCTACAGCGATATTATCCATAGAAGGTATGAAAGAACGTTCAACTCGCACGTTAGATGTTTCGTTAGAAGGTACACGCGGCCGACGTTTGCGATAATCTTCAATACTGAGTCTTTTTGGCTGAAAGAGAACATGATATATTTAAATAATGAGGAAAACATTACATTTTTCTGAGGAGGTTCTTCTACTTTACTCTTAGAGTCATCTTCTTCTTTTATCGGTTCTTGTTTTATCTTTGGTTCCTCTTGAACTTCCTCCTTTTTTTCTTTCACTGATGGTACGCCTAATAGAAAACTTGAAAATGTTTTCAAAACTAAAAAAAACCTTCGATGTGCTTGGGCAGCTCGTAGTAAACTTCTCCCATCTTTTCGAGCACTGTATCGGCATTCAATTGGAGTTGAACTCTTAGTTCATTAAGCGCCGAGGTATCTTCCGAACTTTTGGTTGCCTTTCTCTTCTTTGATGGAGAGAGCTAAAAACTGGAAATTATAAAAATATATAGATAAGTGATCAACCGTCGAGGAGGTGGTGGGAGTCACAATCTGCTCAGACTGTGCTGCAGCATGCCTTCTCAACCATTGCTTTTTACTGGGTACAACTGCAGATTCTTCAGAATCGGGCTCGAGTTTAACTTTTTGATCACAAGTAGCTGCTGGAGCACCTAAAGCGTGAACTAAAAAATTGAAAAGAGTGACAAAACTCACTGTTGGCTAAAGTTTTCTCTTTCTGTAACCACCGCTTACGAGGAGGTTGATATTTAGGAGTCTCCATGTCCTCTTGATTCTCCACCTTCAAATCAGAATCAGTAGACACTTTTTCTTTCTCTTTCTCTCTGCCCTTTTCCTTTTCTCTTTCCTTCTTTTCTTTCTCTTTCTCTTTCTCCTTTTCTTTTTCTTTCTCCTTCTCTTTTTCTTTTTCTTTCTCCTTCTCTTTCTCTTTTTCTTTTTCTTTCTCTTTTTCCTTGACTCGTTCTTTTTCTCTCTCTTTTTCTGTGTCTTTTCTGCTTCGTCTTCTAGATGGAGATTCAGCAGAGCTCTTCGATTTCCTTTTTTCAGTTTGTTTAGAATCTTTCTTCGACTTGGCTGACTCCATAAGAGCCAATTGCTGTTGTATTTTCATTTCTTCTCGACTCTGAAACAAAAATAAGGAAAAAAAAGCCATTCTGTGCTTACTGGCTTGTTACGATCAGCAGGCAAAGTGTAATTTACGTTACTCTTCTCCAAATCTTTGATTTTCCTAGATGGGCGTGAAACAACCTCTTCTTTTTTCTGTAAGATCAAGTTAAATGTGATAACGGAACGTTTGGGGCCATACTACTTCTGGCTTAGTTTCTTGTTCATCGGAAGAAACTTTGGAATTAGTTACAATAGCAGTAGTTTCTTCCTTCACTTCCTTTTGGACTTCAACTTCTTCCTTGACTTTCACTTCTTCAGCAGCTCCATTCTAGAAAAATCACATGATGATTGGTAATTGAAGCATCAAAAACCTGGGTTCCCAATTTGGATCGCCTTCCCTTTCCTTTCGGTCTACCCCTTTTATCAGCCTTTTTATCATCTTCGAGATTGCTCGAGTCTAGCTCATCCTCCTAAATGAGTATTTAGCACCAAACAAGGAAAATAAAAACTACTTTTCTTGCAGCATGACCAAGAATGTACAAAGTCTCCGATTGACGGAACAAACATTTATCTTTCTCCCGTTGCAAACTGCACCAGCAATACATTTGCATGTCGTTCGTAGAACTGTCGATGTCAAACGGTATTGTTACCTGTAAAAGTCTCAGTACAAAATTTTTTAGAATGCAATTTCGCAACCTCTGTTCCGTCAGGAAAACTTTCGTTTGCAACCAAATAGACGTTAAGGTGTCCGTTTTGCAAGATATGCCGCACACTACAATTTGGTCGGCAACTTCTGAAAATACGTAAAGTACGTAATCGGTTACCATTGAAATAACGGTTACAAAAAGGTTAAATTAAAAAATACCTTCGTGCAAATCTGCCATCTCCACCAATCTTGCTAGCATCTATGCAGATATATGTATTCTTTTCTTCCTGTCCGGCCGAAGTTGAACAGTTCAAGCCGTCATACAACAAAGAGAAACGTTGAAAACCTTCTCTTGTTCTTTCGTTAGGAAGCATCACTTGCCCGATAAACTCTATTATCAGATCTCCAGAATTAATATCGCGAGTGCACACCAAGCCTAAACATTACATGTGGAACCACTGGAACACGAATAACTCGAGCTTACCCTCAATATCAGGTGCAACAAACATAGTTTTAGTACAAGACTTGAAGGAATCTTTCTGATCTTTCCGTATATACCCACTATCTGGTGTTAACTCTAGTAGTTGTTTAGCATGTTTCGTGAAGTTATTTTTCAGAACATCCTGATACTTCCGGTTATAATTAGCTTTTACAGGTTTCGCAGGGGTATGCTACAAGTTCAAAAAAATTAATGAAATTATAATTAGTTTGAAACAATACCTGTTTCGCTTCTTTCGTAAGACTGCGGACCTTTCTAATAGGATGATGAAATCCTAATTCTTCCTGTAACAATGATTTAAAAATAAAAAGCTGCTACGAAGCTAAACCTGTATCCTTAGTGCATGTTCTTTCGTGATAGTGAGTTTTCTAGGTTTACATATTTCGCATAACCACTTATCTGGTATCTCTTCATCAGTACTGAACCCATAGCAAGGTGCATGCTGCCACATACTGATAGGAACATTAAAAAGAATATATCATGATTGAATCTTACTTGCATCGGTCACAGCACACACATAGGCCCAAACCATGATCGAGAGTACATACACATCGGGCTTCCCAAGTCCCCTAAACATCATATTTAATTGAACGATCCCCATAACAAAGTCAACTTCTTCTTCATCTTCTTCCTCCTCAGCTGTTACGTCAGTGTCAGATTTTTTAGTAACCACTTTGTCTCGTTCTGTAATGGAAAGTTTAGCAGTAGTATAAGAGAGATTAAATACTTTTCCTTCCTCTTCCTCTGGTGGGAACTATCACCTCTGCTTTGTTAGTAACCTTTTTACTAAACGGAAAAGAATGCCTAGCGCTACTTTTACTACTCTCAATATTTCCGAACGACACATGGTTATTCAAGTCTAACTGAAATCAAAAGATAGAGAATCGGGTCTGATATTTTTCCTTTACATTTGCTCTAGTAGGCGAACGCACGGGAGGTCTTTCTTTTGAATTAGAATATGAAATATTAAATGACTTTGTAGGTGACCCGTTTGTGTAAGCGCTTTGAGGCGATGACGACCCGATTGTTCCACTACTATTACTCAAAGAATTTCTTGTACGATTCTGTAATGAATATTGTAACTATATTTCCAAATAAAAACTTACATTCCAGTTTCCCCGCGGCCTACCGCGCGCTCGAATGGTTTCATAAGGTATACTTTCTGCACCATTGGACGCAGATGCATCGAACGAGGGTTTCTCAAACATTTTTTCCATTTCCTAATAAAAAAAAGATTGATGACAACTTTAACTTAGTCTTACGATTTCACGGGTAACTGTGGCAATTTTTTCTTTTATCATTTCCGCTGTAGAATTACCGGAAGTATCATTTGTTTTCTCTGATGCTGGCCTAGATAGAACTTCTTGGGGAGAATGGACGTGAGATGGACTCATTTCAAGCTTAAACAATAATTAAGTTAGTCAAACAAAACGTTCATACCTTAGGGTTTTTCGTATCCTCTATAATATTATCGGGGAGAGAGTGAGGATCATTCGAAGGCACATGGAGTCGCGCAGGCATGTTGCGCTGTAAATGAAACATTATTTGGCTATGTTTTGCGTATGAACAAACCATAGGCACATTGGAGTTGGGAGCACTAATACTGATTTGTCTATGCGGAGGCACTGGTTTACTTTGGGGTAATTTTCTTTGTAAGGCACCGGAGGTAGATAAAAGCAGAGGTCCTCTAGACTCTCCACATCTGTTAGGAGATTGAGAGGTAGCATCACCGTCTAAGAAGTGAACCTAAAAAAGATATTAATTCTAAATTCGAAAAAAAAACCTACTTTTCTAGGTGAATGTAAAGGAGATCGTAGGATTGGCGAAGTCAAAGATAAAGGTTCTGCCGATTCATCTCTTTTGGCTCGAGTAGGATCTAAGAACAAAATATGTGATCATCGAAATAAGATTCCAGAAATACTTCTATGAATAACATTCCTGTTACCACACACAAGTAATGGCGCAGGAGCATTTGCAACGGCAGCTTGGCTGGGATCTGCCGAGTTGAAATGACCTCCAACAGTTTGTCTATTGGCAACTATTGTGTTATGTCTAAAATCATGAACTCTGTAAGATATTACATCATGATAGGAATGTTTGAAACACAAATATACCTCTGTGATGCTTCGATTTTTCTTTGACTACCATAAACATCCCCGGGTAAGTTTTGCGCTATTCCACTGGTGGATAATGTTCGTGGTCTGAAAAACAATTATAAGCAATTTACTAAATTTTTCATGAAAATTACTTAGAAGCAGCCGCAGCTCGAATGTTTCCAGATCTTCCATCACTAATATAATAACCGGAGCTGGAATTCCGGTTGATTGAATACGGTGTAGAACTCTCAGGAAAACCAGGTGAATAATCGACTTAAATATAAAATAAGTTCAGAATCAGTGGATAAATGAAACCTCTACGTTGACCAAACCGAAAACTGGGTTCCGATCTTCTTCGATCCTCAGCTTCGCGAGCGAACGGTTGCGACCTAAACGGAAAGTATATATGGTTATAAAAACTTTTTTACCTGATGATATCACGAGTACGTGAAGTTGTGAAAACCAATTCTAAAACTAATAAATTAAAAAAAATACTAATGAGAATACAAACCGTTTTTTTCGTTGATAGTTAAGCCGTCAATGGTTTCGAACTTTTTCGACTCATTGGGATCAGGACGAAAACGCTTGGCCGGATCCGGAACATCGTAATTGTGATCCTAAAAATTCATTTATGAATTTGAGGAATTATAGGAAAACTCTCACAGCGTATGTTAATCCCATGTTCAAACTGTGATTTTCATCATCAGATTCATCAATTACAATCTGAAGAATTTTACATTGACTACTAGAACAAACACAAAATATTACTCTTTTTACAGCTTCATCTTCCCCCGGTTCAGCTTTCGAGACTGGAGGGGGTACATCAACAGATGAACAAGGTATACTCTGAACCAAGTGTTCTATGACTAAAATAAAATTATCACTAGCTTCTAAATCGAGCTTCATACCTTGAGCTGCTTCGGCACAAGTATTTTCTTCAACTTCTTCAGACATTGCCAGACTATACGACAAATATGGGAAGCGACGCTATCATCAAGAAGAGCTCAGGTATCGCCAGCGAATAAGAACTGAAACATTAGTGGAAATTTTAACTGAACAATAATTCTGACTTGAGTGTATTGAGAAATGACTTCAACTAGCCTTCTATATGTGAATGGGAGACATGGAATCAATGAAAATGAAGATGAAAAAAACGAACTTTAAATGATATTTAAATTTTTACAAATGAATGCGATTGCGTGAGATTTAAAATTAATAAAAATAACTTTTTTCATACGTATTTGAAGCAGAATATACCCCAGGCTTCCTTGGCAAGTTTCCAACTAGCTACGCGTGATGGCGAGGGGTCTCGCAACGAAAGCACACTCATCGATCAACTGGATTTCTGCCAATCACTTCTAGTTCTGAATAAATTATTTCATTAAAGCTTTTCGGAGAACTATGAAAATATATTCAGAATAAACTGTTAAGTAAAGTTAAAGTTTAAACTTTCATTATTTGAAAGCCAAATACATTTATATGCTCGTCTTGAAAAGATATATAAAACAAGTTGTGCAAATTTTCAGCCAATGCAGGTCACGACAGCTAATGATGTTAAAATATATAACTTGAGTTATGGAAAAAATATCCCAGAAGTAAGATATAAAGAATGAGTACCGAAAAGCTTAAAACTAATTTAGTGGATGACTGGACAAGCTAGGAGAAAGCTCGAAAAAGGCAATCTAGGTAACTGCGTTTTCATCACACTTCGATATCTGAGTTTCCACAGATGTACGACGTAGAATCGAGCTTATTCAAAACTTCGAAATGCCCGATATGAGCTCGACGATTAGTATCACTAAAGATGGGCGCCATGTATTCGCCTCAGGCAATCGCACAACAAACATAACTAATTAAAAAATCTTTTCTTAAGGTATTTACAAACCCTTCGTAAAATGCTTTGACTTGAATGATCTCTCATTAAAGTTCGAGAGAGGGGTAGATTTTAGTGTGTTGAAACTTGTAAACTTCAGTGATGATTATTCAAAGGTTAGCATTCAGTTTCATTCTCTCATACTCCCATATTAGTTTGCTATTTTGCAAGATTTTCGTCGTGTGGAGATTCATGCAGCTTTTGGACGATACTACGCATTCCGAACTCCAACGCAAAGTAGAGATTTTGCTTTCTCAGAAGAATGTAGTGACTTATATTTCGTTGGAAAAAAGTAGGAAAAAGTTTTAACTCAGCTAGTTCACATGCTAATTTAGTGATCAGATTTATCGTTTGAATCTGGAAATGGGAGAGTGGTTACAACCATTAACTTCTAATTCAGGAGCAATCAACTGCTGTAAATTCGCACCAGAACATCAACTTTTCGTTTGTGGTTTGTTCTTTCATGTTTGTTCACAGCTCATTGTATTTTACCAGGTACAACCGATGGAACTGTAGAAACTTATGATCATAGAGATAAAAAAATGGTTGGGCTTTTAGATTGTCAACCCCACTTGTTCAAACAAACAGAGTATTTCGTTCAGAAATCTTCAGGCTTAATATTATTAATGTTCCAGCGGTAAATTAAGCGAAATAACTTCTGTAGCTTTCAAAGACGCCCTTCATATGGCTGTTGGTAGTAGTACGGGACAGGTATTAAGATCTCTTTTTTGTTTCATAGTTCATCATGTTTGAAGATTATTCTCTATGATATTCGATCCAGTCGTCCCATGCTCATCAAAGATCATTATAATGAGCTTCCTATCGTTAAGGTAGAGTATGTTAAAAGGTATTACATTCTTTTTGTAGCCAATCCACGACTCTCATTTTTTAGAGAGGAAGGTGATTTAGTACTCTCTATGGACTCTCGTGTATTGAAAATGTGGAATGAAAAAGACGGATCTGCGTTTGCTGCTATCGAAAGTCATTATGAGCTTACTGACTTCTGTCGGCAGCCTGATACAGGTTGGGGAACAAGTAGATGTGATTAGTATGGTATTCTGTTTAGGTCTCATGTTCTTTGCTAATGATTCTCCGAAGATGTTACAATATTTCGTACCCGCTATTGGTCCAGCACCTAGATGGTGCTCGTTCTTGGAAGGCTTAACAGAAGAATTAGAAGAATCTGATGAAGTTATAGGTCTTCTCTATTCTGTTCATATTTTTTTCATACTACTATTTTTCAGTTTACGATGACTTCAGGTTCGTAACACAGCAACAACTTGAAGATGTAGGATTATCACATTTGGTTGGATCGAATGTACTCCGTGCATACATGCACGGATACTTCATCCACGCCAAACTGTACGACAAAGCATGCACAGTTACACAACCATTCGCTTTCAAAAATTACAAAGAGAGAAAGGTTTTTCTTAAGTTCAAGCTGTTGTTGTTGTACAATTTGTTTCTTTTCAGATCCGTGAAGTTTTGGATAAAGAACGTGAGAGAAGAGCTGTTGAAAAGAAAGTTAAAGGTCCACAGGTATTTTGTCCGTTAGCCATTGTTTGTTCAGTGCTTCCTTTCTAGGTCAATAAGGCTTATGTTGATCATATTGAGGAAAGGCGTAATAGGGATGGAAAGAAGAATGAAGTAATTTTTCTTGTACATTCTTACAAAAATCAAAATCAATATTGTTTTAGGAAGTTTACAATTCGGTATTGTCTGATGATCGTTTCAAGCAGTTGTTCGAATCCAAAGATTACGAGGTTCTTATGATCACGTATGCTGGATAACTTTCTTTGATTCCAGGTTGATTTCGATAGTGAAATTTACCATAAGAAATATGGTAAAGCCGGAAATAAGAAGCGCAAGGCTGATAGCTCGGATGAGGAAGATGATCGTGACCGCATGGTAGGATATATTCAATTCCATCATTGTATGCATGTTTGCTCAGGAACTTCATCTTCCTGACGACGATGACGTTCAAGTAGGCAAGAATGGTGCAGATTCCCTCCTAGAATCAGAAGAAGAGGATGAGGAGACAGTGTCAGAGAAGGTGAGAGTTCATTTGATGCAATTAATTAAAATTATGATTCTTTCATAGGTTCTGAAAAAGAAGCAAAAACAAGAGCGTATAATAGAAAAACGTAGAAAACAAAAAGAAAAATATTTGGAAACGAAGAAGCAGGCTAAAGCCGAAAAGTTTGCCATCAACCTACACTTTTTCTAAGTTTCGGCTTTCAGGGTTTTGCGCCAGCAGAATAAACCTAAGAAGTTTGTTCTCCATGATGTGGATAATGCAGATACTAGTCGACAATTCATAGAAGAGGATGTTATTCAAGATGATAAGGTTGGGTTCTTTCTGTTCTTCTTTTATGCTCTTGTCCTTCCAGGCGGAAGTGGTCATGTTCAAACGAAAACTGAAGGCGTTGAGAAAGAACCAGAATGAAGAAGTTGTAGAAAACAACTTTGGAGGAAAATCCTTAACATTTACTTTGCCAAAATCTGGTAAAGCTGGGCAGAGTGAACAACAAAAAGAAGAGAGGGTATGTTTCTATATCCGTATATGGTTATATTTATATCCTTAATGTTTTTAAGAAAAAGCATCAGACAGAAAGGAAGGATGTCGTTCGAGCTACTGTTGATTCCGTTTCTAAAAATCTTAAGCGACTCCCCCGTAACATTGGAAAGAATCAGAGATTTTAAAAAATACTGTTGTTGATTTTGTTGTTGATTTTGTTGTTATTTTGCTAATTTTTAAAATATGAGTCGAAAGAAAAAAATTTTCCCTCAGAAACTGGGAGAAAATTTTAATAAAAACTTATAAAAACTTGACTTATTTTTCATTCCATATCACACATAGATGGAGAGAGAGAATGAGAGAGAAGTTAGAGATTACAGAACGTTTCTCTTCTCTTCTCCGAGGAATCAAGACTTTGAATGAAGTTAAAAGATTAGAAGAGGATAAGCATGAAATGTGCCAACTGAGGGTCTCATGCATTGAGGGCTTAAGAGTATTAATTAGTTCAATAAGCTTCTGATCGAAAGCTGTAACGGTTACCATGGGTAATGAGTTCACAGGAGTTAAAAAAAAACCTCAGTTCTCATTGTTATTTGAACTGAGCGAATAGGACAACGGCTCGAAAAGAATTTCCAATGACCTAATGAGACGACAAACGACTAGGAAAATGACTTTGCTGCAGCACTCATTCGAACTTGACATGAGTAGTATAAGAAAAAGGTCTCTGTTTATAAGTGTTCAGATACCGTGATTGTAGAGGGGTATGATCGATAGTTGAAATCAACTGACAGCGAGGTTCAAATGTAAGTTGGAGTATAAAGCCATACTTGGATACAAATGGAGGAGAGAGACCAAAAACAGAAGAAAAGGGACGCAAGCTTTCCCGAGACACAGACGGTGCATGTCTGGACGTCGTTGTAGCGAATCGATTTGACGCAACCAACGGCTAGCTTCACCCAACACTCAGCTTCTATTTCTCTGTGGCATAAACATATTCGAGACTTTCTATCAATAATTCGAACACCTTCTATGAAAGTCTTTTTATTTGAACATTCATGCTAATTTATTTTTCTTCTTCTTCATGTAAATCAAGCTATTTGCCTGCGGCCTTACAAGGCCTTCTCATAAGAATTGATTTTTGCATAAAGTCCAATAATCCTTAGGATACCAGGCCGTTATTACATAATGAGCTTCCATCTATCCATCATGCCTCAACCTCAATTCTAAATTTGATTCGTTTTTTTTTCAAATATTTGTTTTTAACTTCTTCTTCAACTTTCTGACATCCTGAATTTGCTATATAAAAACATTTTCCATAAAAACGTAAACAAAATCGAAAACAAAAGCAAGTTTTAGTATAATTATCATGGATTTTCCACTGCCACATTCACCTTTCTATATATTTCTATGTGAGTTAACATTTGTTCCTAGTCAATACTTACTGTTCATGATATCTGATGCTTTTGAGTTAATTATCATTCAGCTATTAGTTGCTATGCATCGATTTTCCACAAAGAAAGACATATGAAGATGAATATTCGCTGAAATTTTGAGCCAGAGAGCATCTGCAAACCTGAAATTTTCATGAAAAAGACAAATGTACTTCAATCTCAGATTTTTATTGCCTTTTCCTTTTTGTTTCCGCTCTTTTCTACTTGTTTCTTGGCTGACCCACTGTCTTTTCTAATACAATAAGAAATGGATGAAAAGAATGGACCACTGCTTCCATGACTCAGAGAATCGATGAACTGACAGATGGGAAAAATAGGAAACGAGAATAGACGGTGAATCTCATGAGCATCTTTTTCTATTTTCTAATTTATCATGGCATTAAGCCTATTGTGTTCATATCATACGCTTCTTGATGTCTTAGCACTATTCAGGTGAAACTTTGAAATCATCAACACACTTGTGACTCAATTATGATTTCAGCAATCGGAAAGCTTCGAAAAGATCTTTTCTCCCTTTTTTTTTCTTCCATCGTCATTGCATATCCTTTTACGAGTCTATTACTCTTATTTAGCAATCTCTTTCTATCGTAATTTGATATGAAAAAAAAAGATATTTTCTGGCAAGTTATATGAGAGTAAATGAAATTATTTCTTTAACATGATGAAGCTTCACTTTTAAACAAATTTTCAATATATGATAAGAAGACGTAGGCCCAATCGTCTGAAGATAATTAGTGTTATTTCCGTATCTTTCCCAAAACAACTCTAAATGAGTATGTAAAGTTTGAAAAGAACATTTCGTTTTACTTCATTTCTTTCTTAACGTTTGTATGCATGGAAATATCTTTTTATAAGCTCAGAAATCTCATATTCATCGTGAAGCAATATTATATTCACATTTTCATCTGACTACATGATATCGTATTTTTCATTCTTTCTCAACGAAGTTTATAATATTATCCTTTTCTTTTTTAGATTAATGTTTTCTATCCTATATATATAATCCTTATATTACTCACAAACTTAGGAATATGTCTTCCTGGTTTTCATATTTTACGTAAGTTTTACTTTTTTTTTGTTGAATGCCATCGCTCTCTACGTTGTTTTCAATTTGATTTGAATGCATTCATTCCCCAAAAAGGGCATTTCTTCTGGGTAGAGACAGCTACAGAACACTGAATTATATGAAAAAATCTGAATCTTCTATTCTCGTCAAACCCAAACTGTGTTCATACCTGTCACAGTTCTACATTTTTGTATACTTCTGCTTGTGCCTCATCTCTCAACTATGCAATCGTGCACTATTCTTTGACAAAAAGCTGCAGTTTGGACTGCCTTTGTATTTTCAAGTTGCTGAAGTCTAGTAGTCCAGGATAACATTCAAAAATTCTATTGGAAATACTTGTTTGAATATATCATCTTAAATTAGACGTTTGCCCGCTGTTCCCGAAACCGTTGAGGAAGAATCAGTCGATCAAGTAGAGGAAGGGAAATCTCCTGATTTGGAACAGACGGTAATGAGTACCATCCAGTTCAAAGACTATTTCAAAAAAACATTTCAATATTTTCAGGCAACGTTATCTCAAGAAGCACGCTCTTCTGCTTTCTTACCCCAACATCTCGAGCATGTTCTAGATGATCTCTCTTTGCAACAGAAAGCAGCTATACAAGAAGTATGTGAAGTTTCGTTATGGAAATGTATGCTGTTCAGGTTTTACAACGAGCGGAAACCTCACGGAAAGAAGCTCGTATAGTGATAGATAGCCATCGTTTGCATTCCTTCAGAAAGAATCCAAAATTATTGAACGAAGACGAGAGATCGTTTAGTGTCGAAGATGTAAAAGAGTTAGATACCGATAGTGATGATGAGAACAAACGACAACTAGTTCAAATGGATTCAATACCAGAGAGTTAGTCAAAATTTCTTAGTTATTAACAAGAAATAGTTGGATTTAAGGTGTCACAGTGTCCATCTTAGAAACTGAAAGTACGTCTTCCACCCCTCTCCATGAAACCATGTCTCCATCACAGATAAAAAGTATATAATTTGAGAATGTTGATCTTCATCTTTGTCTTTTTTTCAGCATCTGAATTTAACAGTGGTATTGGATCACGCATGAAGCTGATTCGTTCACAAATCGCTCAATGGTTTAATTCATTGGATTATGACGGTGATTATATGTCTCTTTCAAACAATACGGGAAGCCGAGGTCAGTTGTACTGATTGAGTGAAACAGTGGGCAGTTTTTTTTCAGATAAAAGTTTATCAAGGCAGGAATCACTTCAACCCTTAGTTATGAATTATATAAACGCTCTATCGAGCGGAATTGTTATAGCAGCAACATTAGAATACTGCCAGGCAGCTTTAGAAGGATCAGAACTTTTCAAAGCTTATTGTCATGACTTATGTGAAACACTGTTTCATCTGGTATACAGTCAAATTGAGCTGAGCTCGGTCGAAGACGATAATATTCGTCTTATAAACGATTATTGCACCAAATTAGCGTTAGATGTAATGGATACGGTGTATTACCTCATTCTCAATCGCACCCTAGAAGATATAAATTCCCCTATTGATAAACTCAAGGAATTGAGTCAGATTCATAGATCCCGTTCATTTGCTACGGCTGCCGAGTTAGAATCAATAATTGAAAGATTGTCATCGGAAGATATAGGTATTTCAAACTTTTTAACATCATCACGAGTTTGTTTCTCAGAAGACCAGGATTCTTTGTATTCATCCCCCAGTATATCATCTCTTCAATGCTACGAAGTTTGTATACCATACAGATTTTAACAAAAAATTATTTCCAGGTTCTCCCAGATATTACTGTTCCACCAACTGTAACCGATTTTGAAAACTCTGCTGTGAGTGAATACAGTGGATCGGAAGATTATTTCCAAACTGATCGATTCAATTCTGCCCCTTCTCTTATATTAATAGAACAATGGTCAGAAGAACAAAGTTTTTTAGAGCAAGAAAAACACTACAACGCCATAATACCAACGGAATCTGATGTTCGTGTTATTATAAGTCCCGCAACACCGTTAACACCTCCTCCTCGACCACCACCCCCAATCTATATTAAAAACGTCGAAGAATCTGAACAAAAGAACAATAAATCCAGCGCTACATCGGCAGCTGACCTCGACCGAACATTCGATGATTATGAAGTCCCGGATCACCAGGTCAGAACAGCAAGCCCAAGTACTGTTGCACCGGTTGAGTCGACAGATAAAGAGCGAGATCATATTGCCAATGTTCAACGAACGGCTGAGAAAGTGACACTCACTAAACCAGTTCTTCCACCTAGGCCAAGCATGATGTCTCAAGATCAATCGATGGATGTTCAGGATGATAACTCCAGCGCAACGTCGGGAGCCGACTTTGAGAAATCATTCGACGACATTGAAATACCCGAACACCAAATCGGAACAGCAAGCCCAAGTATTGTTGCACCGGTTGAGTTGACTGAAGAAGAACTAGATCATATTGCCAATGTTCAACGACTGGCAGAACATGTGACACTCACTAAACCAGTACTTCCACCTAGGCCAAGCATTGTGTCTCAAGATCAATCGACGGAAGTTCAGGATGATAACTCCAGCGCAACGTCGGGAGC